CAAGTAATGGGAAGGTGATAAATTTGTGATTCTTAAAAGGAATGGAGTTTGGTATGGTCAAATTTTTAAACAATAAAATTTTTGCACAATAAGCTCTCATAACACCAGAAGGAAGTCAACAAAGAGGAAAAATGAGTGAGGAAAATGGTATATTCTAAAATAAATTGATGTGATTATAATACTGCAGAGGTTAGATAAGAACATGCTAAAAGAAATATAATAACTGTGCAGATGAACTCAAATTTAATCTGCTATCATAAACATTTCAACTTACAAAATTAGGAACTATGAAGTACATGTTGGAAAATTGATGTATTTAAGTTTTAACTTCATGGAGGGCATCCTATCCTGATCATATGAAACATGGTCTTTAAAGTATCCTGACTTGGTATTTTGGATAAAATAGTCAAAGGAAACAGCTCCAGAGGGAAAATATAATTTACACCAGTATTGATGATCATATATATATATATATACCTACTAATATATACATTCATATAATGTATATAAGTAAATATAAACATATAAGTACACACAGATATATAAACATAAATGGAAACAGCTTCATACCCTATTGAGTACTGGCAGAGCACCCATTAGCAAAATAGAATACTACAAAGTTATTTAGATAATAATAAGCCCACTCTATTAATATTTGGAAATAGGTGCCAGATATAAATTAAAACAGAAAAATCCTATCGTGGTCCCTGTTTCAGGGCTATCTTCTGGGTTGTAAGATATCACAATCAGTTGCTGCTTCAGGGACACGATATTCTAGAGTGGAAAATAGATCACCATGAGTATCAATACTGGCGAAATAAGGTAATTTTAGGTAGTAAGTGCTATGAAGAAAATAAAAGGACAAAGGACTAGAGAGGGACTTAGGGCAGAGGGGGTACATTATTTTAGAGAGGATGGTGAGAGGAGGGGGATTCTTCGCTGAGCCATCCTTGTTGAGAAGGACCTGCCAGGTGACAGTGGGGGTGGGGAAGGAGCACCTGAGGGAGCCCAAGTTTGAGGACTCTCAGACTGGAATGAGTGCAGCAGGTGTGAGCCAAGAGCAGGCCAGAGTGGTTAGAGCTTAGAGAATAAGTGTATGTTTGTCTAGATTACAATAGAAACTGAGTTATTTTTGAATGGCCTAAAATAGCTAGACTTTACTTTCTTAAGGTTTAAAAAATTTTATATTGTGATTGTGAAAATTATGGCAAAAATTCGGAAGTATACGGAACAAATGTATGTTTTAAAGAAGAATGACAAAGCAAACATCCACGGACCCACCACCAGTTATGACCTAAAATACTATAATCCCCTTGTAGCTTTTGGACTGCATTGCTCTCCCTGGCTCCCGGTGGTAAGATAAACATTGTGTGACTTTTGAGATAAGGATTCCTTTGCTAGTCTGTGATTTAGTGACCTATATTTGCAACCCAAACATGTAGTCTAGTGTAGCTTGTTTTGAATTTTATATAAAACATCCGTGGTATGTGTATTCTTCTGTGTCTTCTTTCTTTCCAAATTGAGGTTCCTTTGTGTTGATCTGTGAGTTTTTAGTTAGTTTTTACTCTATAGTATATGAATACACTGTAACATAGTTATTTGTTCTCTCGATCAGTATTTGTTCTTTTTTCCCCCAGTGCTTGGCTGTTATTGTAATAAGGTCTGATGTAATTTACCTAAGAGAACAACTTCTGGGTTGTAAGATATGACCAAATTTACTAGACAATGCCAAACTCCTTCCAAAGTAAATACACCAATCTTTACTCTCACTAGCAGTGTGCGAGGCTTTCTGTTGGTGCATGTACAGGATTACACCAACCCTGGACATTGCCAGACTTAGTAATTTTTGCCCGTCTGACGGGTGTGTCCAGGTATGTTAAAGTTTTAATTTTCACTTTTATTCTCACTAATGAGTTTGAGCACCTTTTCATGTGGTTATAGGCCATATGGACTTCTTTCACTTATTTTTCTGAAAGGCTGATTCAAGTGTTTTTCCCAATTTTTTCTTGGGGTTCTGCCTTACTGTATAGCAGTTATTTATACCTTCTCTCTGTGTGCTTATCCTCCCTTTTTAATGTTTTTTAAATATTTAAAACTTAAACAGAGACGAATTTTAATAATCTTCTTATATTAGTTATCCATTGCTTTGTGACAGATCACCCCAAAACCTAATGGCTGAAACAACTTCATTTCAGTTGGGCCTCGGCTCACTAGGCAGTGACTGCCTGCCTCCTGCCTGTGCAGGGAAGCTCTGCTTCTGCTGGTTGGCTGTCTGATTGCTGGGGTGATAACGGGTGACTGAGCCACAAGTCTTTCATCAGCAGGTTAGCTTGGACTTGTTCACGTGGAATCGGGCAAAGGTGTACAAAGCTTCTTGAGGTGGAGGCTCCAAAATAGCAGATGTCATATTCACTGCGTTCCGTTGTTGTCCACAAACCCTGCTGGTATTCAAGGGGTGAGGACATGACATAGACCCTGCCACTTGTTGGCGAGGCTGTGAGTGTCCTTGAAAGGAGAAGTGCCTGCAGGCAGGGGCAAGAGTTGTGACCATGCTTGCAATCCACCACTTTTTACATTACAGTTGTGCTTTTCTCCCCTACTCCAAGGGTAAGAATACAATTCCGTAGTGTCTTCTAAAAGTTACAAGGGTTTTCCCTTTCACATCCAAGTCTTTTTCAATGTTGGTTTTTTTTTAAAAAAATTATTTTGAAGAGGAAAAAGAATTTGAGAACAGCAAGAGAAACATGAATTAGAGGAAGAATGAAGTTTCAAACATCATGACAGTGGGGGATGTTGATAACGAAGGAGGCTGCGCATCTGCAGGGGCCGCGGGTCAAAGAAAAATCTATACTTTCTGCCCAGTTTTGCTGCGAACCTAAAACTGCTCTAAGCCATAGTCTATTAGGAAAAATTAAAAAACAAAGCAAAACGATGACAACAGCTGAAAGAGCTGGTGAGCATTCACTGTTTGTTTGTTAGCTATAATACAATGATGAAGAACATTAAAAAGAACACTTGCTTTTACTATTCTACCATCTTAGTAAAAACTGCCCTTGGTGTTTTGCATTATTTGCTTCACTTTCTTGTCTATATTTATTTGTTGCAAGATAGTATTCCTATCAGCAGAAATGGATTGCATTTTATTTTTTCAACTTTATAATTTTCTTAACATGAAGTTCTGTTTGAACACGGTCTGTCAGTACTCAGTGTACTGAGACCAGAGGCATAAGGATTGCAGGCGTCAGTGAGCAGCTTCTTAGAAAGTGCTTTAGACCAGAGGTAGGATTGTATCCTGGCCAGGGCCTGGGTTTTGGACACATGGCCCTAGAGTAGAATCAAGCCTTTGCTGTCGTAGTAGCTGTGCAACTTTGTGCAAATAACCTACATCTCTGAGCTTTAAGTCAGCATTTTAAAATGGAGATCATCTTTAATTTATTTATCTTTCAAGAGTATTGAATGAGATAGAAAAAATATTACCTAGCATGGCATTTGGCCCATAAAATAAACATTAGCTTAGATTAGAAATAGGTTTTCCACTATTTTCCGTTAATCTCCAGTGAGAAAAGATGAGGACCTCTATAGGTCTTTTGCAGAATGAATTATTGCTGACATTTAAGCTTGGCCTTAGTTACCTCCCTGTGGCTGTTTTCTATGAAAACCCTTTCATCATCTTCTGGGTTCTCTGCCTGGAGTTTGACAATCAGTTAAGTGCCTCTGGTTGGCTGACATCAAGCTTTTGAGACGTGTGTGTGTGTGTGTGTGTGTGTATTTCTAAATTTTTCAATTGCAATTTATATTCAATATTATTTTGTATTAGTTTCAGGTGTGCAGCATAGTGGTTATACAGCCAAATACTTTACCAAGTATTCACCCCAATATTTCCAGTACTCAGCCGGCACCATACATAGTTATTATAATACTAGAGGCCCGGTGCACGAATTTGTGCATGGGTAGAGTCTGGCAGGCCCCCCCAATGGGGGCCGATTGGGGCTGGGCTGGTCGGGGGGAGGGGCTGTGGGAGGTTGGCCACTGGCTCTGCCCCTGATCAGGCAGTGGGGGGCTGCTTGGGGGTGAGGCCAGCTGGTGGGAGGGGCTGGCTATCAGAGTGGGGGGGGTGCTGCGGGAGGTTGCGGGGGGCCAATCGGGGCCCCAATTGGGCTGGTTGGCCGCCGCAGTGCACGTCATAGCAACCAGTCGTTCTGGTTGTTCCGGGTGTTCTGCCTTTCCAGTCGCTTGGCTTTTATAGATATAGATTATTAGATTATTGGCTGTATTTCCTATTCTGTACTTTACATCCCCAACTATTTTGTAGCTACCAATCTTTACTTCAGACACTTATATTTGAAACCTTGGTAGCCAGCCGGATCTCATGGAGCCCTGGGAGATACTATCAGGAGTGTGTTCACGGTCCTCACTTTTGAATTGGGCAAGCTCTGACCTGAGTAAGCAGAGAAAAGAAAAGTGTTTTAGGGAATTAGGTGAAGCAGTCCGATCTCTGAGGAAGAAAAGACTGGGGGGTGGAATAAACATTTCACCAGCACCTGCTCTTTGCCAGAATGTAGAGTGGAAGACAGAAGCTGCTGGAGAGAGCACCAGGGATGCTGGGCCCCTTGGCAAAGCAGTTGGGTTGTGCCTCTTTGCAGATTGATTGGAGGAGAGCTCTCTAGCTCTTTTGACCTGACGAGGAATAAATATCTTCTAGGCCTTGACATAAAACGAGGATCCAGCCCTGATTGGTTTGGCTCAGTGGATAGAGCGTCGGCCTGAGGACTAAAGGGTCCCAGGTTCGATTCCCGTCAAGGGCATGTACTATGGTTTCGGGCACATCCCCAGTAGGGAGTGTGCATGAGGCAACTGATCGATGTTTCTCATCGATGCTTCTAACACTCTATCCCTCTCCCTTCCTCTCTGTAAAAAATCAATAAAATATAAAAAACAAACAGACACACACAAAAAAACAAAAAAAACGACCCATGTCATGATTAAATCTTTCGTCCTAGGTCTTTCGGCAGCCCAGCGGAAGTTTGCTCACTCGCTCAGAGACTTTAAGTTTGAGTTCATTGGCGATGCGGAGACCGATGATGAACGCTGCATAGGTACGTGGAGGGGAGGGTCTGGTCTGCTCTCCTTTGCTTTGTCCGCCAAATAACGATTCCTTTCTCTTGACAGATGCTTCCTTGCGTGAATTTTCTAACTTTTTGAAGAACCTGGAAGAGCAGAGGGAAATCATGGTGAGTTGTGGGATGTAAATGAATAAATCTAACTTTGAGCAGGGGAAAGCAGGTTTCTATTTCCTCAGTGGTGCTGACCTTGGCAAGAGTTTAGATAAGTTGCTGGACTTCTGGACTTGTTTCTTTATCAGTAAAATAGTCAGAGACTGTATCAGTTCCATCTAGATTTTCGTCAGCACTTGCATTTTACATTCAGGGGTGGGGAATGCCCGGCCCTCGGGCTGTCTAAGGTTTGGGAAATCATTTGGTCTGGCTCTGCCATATTATTAGGGGTGAGTTAATTAAATCTTTGACCAAATATAGCAGGCTAATTTTTAAGTTGATAAATTTGTATGGCCTGTGAATGATCCAAATGGCCCTTGGCAGAAAAAAGGTGCCCCATCCCTGATTTAAATTGAGTCTCATGCAGAACCTTAATGTATCAAAAAGATAAAAGCAGAAAAGCTTATGTAGAAGCACAGGGACAGCAGGGCAATGTTAGAGCTATATCTGTCGATTTCTAGGCTGCGTGGAGAGGGAGGGAACTCAGGCCTGGAAGTCTTTTTTTTTTTTAATATATTTTATTGATTTCCTACAGAGAGGAAGGGAGAGGGATAGAGAGTTAAAAACATTGATGAGAGAGACATCGATCAGCTGCCTCCCGCACACTCCCTACTGGGTATGTGCCCACAACCAAGGCACATGCCCTTGACCAGAATTAAACCTGGGACCCTTGAGTCCACAGGCCGACGCTCTATGCACTGAGCCAAACCGGCCAGGGCAGGCCCGGAGTCTTTAAGATCCTATTTTGCCTTGAGAATCGTGATGCCAGCAGTAATAATAGCTACACTTTATTGGGTGCTCTCCATGTATATCATGCTATGCTGAGTGCATTGAGTAGATCATCTTACTTACGCCCAGCAATGCAGTTTGAGTGTATTGAATAATACTTAATCTTTCTTAAAAGCTTGCATTTCCCACCAAGTGACTGATAATCATTGCACAAAAATTTATAGTAGAATTGGCACTGGAATAGGACATACTATTCTCACCATATTTTCAGGCTTTCAGAGGGCTTGTGAAGGCACTGTGGTCCTCTTAGGTTTTTCTGGCACAAACTGACATATTCAACCATTATTTATGTGATCCTGAAGTCACCGATTTCCAGCTGTTTAGGCAACTTTAAATGTGACAGTGGATGAAAGTAGTACTGTGACATCACTTTTCTGCTACATCAAGTGGGTGTGAGTGTGTGGCTGATGGTGAAACTGCATGTTCTTAGTCTTTTGTTAATAGCCGTGGACTTTTGTCTCAACTCTCTTTAATATTTAGTTGTACTTTCCTGGGATCCTGAGCCTTCAGCAAATATGTATCAGATCACCTTTTGCCTTTTGTGTTCCAGTGACTGATTAAAATCTGAACACAGAGGCAAAGCCAAGTCCCTGCCCTCAGGGAGGTTACATTCTAGAAAGGGGAGGTGATAATAATAATTAAAAAAACCATATAATACATTGTCAGGTAGTGAAAAGTGCTACAGAACTTAATAAGGAAGGGTACGTAGCCAGAGAGTAGGGTCCGGCACTGTTAGAGAGTGGGGAGAGAAGGCCTTTGCACAGAGGTCTCCAGGTATCTGGGGGAAGAGAGTACTGGTCAGATTGGTGCTAAATTTTAGCTCTGCAGAAATACTGTGTAACCACAGTAAGTCTTTTTTTTTAATCCTCACCTAAGGATGTGTTTTTATTGATTTTGGAGAGAGAGGAAGGGAGAGACAGGAGGGAAATATCAATGTGAGAGAGAAACATTGATCAGTTGCCTCCTGTACATGCCCTGATGAGGGATTGAACCCTGGGATCGAACCCACAATGTAGGTACGTGCCCTGACTGGGAATCGAATCTGCGACCTTTTGGTGTATAGCAGGGATGGGGAACCTTTTTTTCTGCTAAGGGCCTTTGGATATTTATAGCATCCATTCATGGGCCATACAGAATTATCAGCTTAAAAATTAGCCTGCTGTATTTGGTCAAACATTTAATTAACTCACCCCTAATGCCTTGGCAGGGCCAGGCCAAATGATTTGGAGGGTCTTATATGGCCCGAGGGATGGACGTTCCCCACCCCTGATTGTATAGGATGACACTCCACCAGCTCAGCCACTCAGTCAGGGCACTGCTCCCTGTCTTGATATTCTGTTTCCGATTTATGTTCCCGAGGTGAAATGACTAGGTCAAAAAACCAGAATGTGGTCTTCGCTCCAGGCTGTCTGACAGAGATAGCATGGTTCTCAGAGCTGAGTTTAGGGGATTTATTGATTTAATCTTCAGTTGTGATGGGGGTTGATAGGGTATCTGTCTTAGATAGGAGGAGGATGGCTGGGCTAGGCTTTCACTGCAGGGTAGAAGTAAGAATAGGATGTTGTCCGTATAAGGCCACGAACCTCAGAGAGGAATGGGACAGTCTGTTATAACCCTCTGTGGGAACAGTAACACCTGCTGGATGGCAGGAAAATTTTCAAAGCCAGCAAGCAGTGGGGGCAGCTGTGACCAACCACAGAATTAACAGGGCATCTGGCCATCGAATGATCTTTTTTCTCCTCTAACGTTTTAGTGGAAAGTTTTGAGCATGTACGAAAGGTAGAGAGAAAAATATAATTAAACTGCACGTACTCATCACCCAGCTTCAATAACCATTGCCACGCAACCGATCTTGTTTTTCCTGTACCTCTTATTGCCACCTCCGTTATTTTTATAGAAAGCCCAGTATCATCCATAAATACCTTAGTGTGTAGCTCTTAAAGATAACTCTTTGAACCACAGTATCCTTGTCTTACCTGAAAACAAATAACAATTCCTTAATATTACAAAGAATTAGGCTGTATTCAAATTTTTCTGATATTCATTCACATTTTGTTGCCCCTTCCCCAGCCCCCCTAATAGTGGTTTTGTTTGAACCTGGATCCAAACACAATATATTTGATTGATAAGTTTCTAAGTCTCTTTTAATCTATAGGTCCTTCCTCCTTTTTTTCCCTCTTGACAGGAATTCCTGGTGCTTTATTAGCTTTAAAAGACCTTTATGGTAGTATTTTCTGAGTTAACCATGATAATCTTCTATAATAATAAAAGCGTAATATGCTAATTAGACTGGACGTCCTCCCAGAAGACCTTCTGGAAGAAGCCAGGGCTGCGAGGGAAGCCCGGGTCCTGGGTGCCAGAGGGAAGCAGGTGCCGTCTGCCGGGGGAAGGAAGGCCAATTGTTGCACGAATTTCGTGCATCAGGCCTCTAGTGAAGTTCATAAAAGATAAAAAGTTTGACATTTAACCGATATGGATGTTATTTGGGTGTTTCTGTCTAATCTTAATAGTTAGTGATCACTTTTTTTTTAAGCATGTAAATTGTAAGGAATTATTATGGCTAGCTTTGTTCCTTTAAGTTGCTTTGAATACTTAGGGGAAAAAATTTGTGATGCTTTACTAGACACCAGCCTTAAACTTTTGCAGAAGAAAAGATACCTCTCTCAAGAAGTGTCCAGTGTTGTTGTGGAGACTAACTGGCACAAAGCTAATTAGAATACATGACAGTAAGTGCAGTAGCAGGGTATAGAGTGTGGCTGCATGGAGTGGGGAGCAGCTAAGCCCCTGCTGCTCAGGAAAGTCTGGAAGAGGTGGTATTTGAGCTGGAGTGCAGGGGACAGAGACGCCAAGGAGGGCCTTTGTATCATTTCACCAGCTCAGTGACAAGTGACACAGTGACAAGGCGGTAAGGACGGTCTTTAAACAGGTGGATGCCAGTTCATTCTGCAAACTTTTAAAAACTCTTATTTTTCTTCAAATATTGCAAACCAGCAGCATGTTAAAATAGCCACATATTTAAAAAGGAATGGGAAATGACAGCTGTAAATCAAGATAGAAATATTCTAAAATTGGAGACACCATTCCTGAGCTGCATTTACAGGTGAATCAGAGTTAGTCAGGTAAGGAGAGAGGGAAGTGAGGCAGTAGTTTCCTCCTTGGGGAAAACAAATCGATTTTGGAAAAGAGGGAGGTGTGTGTTTGCCTGTCCCGCC